ATTACACATATGCAAAAGCTATCATATTAATGCTAAGTATATGATAAAATAAATTATATGAAAACTTTATATGCTTATATACATTGTATATTGGTTATTGCACATGGAACCATCTTTTCATTCTTCTTTTTGAAGTAATACTATTATATATATATCACTCAAATATTAAAGTTAAGAGATAAATGTATATCACAGCAGGAAAATTGCCCATACAAATTTCTTAAACTGTCTACATGAAAAATGGAGATGTGGTTTGATTGCCAATGAGACTGTATCCCCCCAAAGTTAAAATGAAGTGAAAGTAGGCAATTATTGGCAATCATACAGACTTCAACAATGAAAATCATAAACCTATATCACACAGGGGGCTTTATCAGACCCTCACATGAAAAACTAAAAAAGAAAAGTGAACATTAGATATTGTAAACACAATATTAGAATAATAAATCATGAAAAAAAAAAATAATTAGTTTTTTTCTTTTCCTTTTCGGTTCATTTTGGTGATAAGATTAACCCATACATTGCTAAAACTATTGAATTAGCAGGTAACATATTTTGTATTTATTGAGAAATATTGAAATAAGAAAAACTAAACTAAATTTTTTTCCAGATAGAACCTGAGATGTAATACAGATTGCTGCAACTTCAAACAATAATGAATTTAGCAGTTACATCTTTCCAAACCAACCTATCTCAATACAGGCCTCCGAAATTTAAAAAAATACCGTTTCTGCAAATCAGATGTTTTATAATTTACAACCTGTTTCGTACAAATTACCACATGAAGCTCTCACTGATTTTATAACATTTCTTTCCAAATATCCATCCAAGCCAGTTCTTGTAGGACACAACATCAAACGCTTTGATTGCCATGTTTTGTACCATTCTTTAAAGGCAAATCAGATGTGGAATGAGTTTTCATCTCACATATGTGGATTCATAGACACCATGGAGTTATTCAAGAAAATAATGCCAGGATTACCATCATATTCTCAAACTTCATTGGTGTCACAACTTCTTGGTGAAAACTATTGTGCACACAATGCAGTTGATGACACTAGAGCATTGTTTAAATTATTAACCTCAAAAGCCTTAAACAATCTGGATTCATTTGTATTTCCTGCAAGTCATCCTTATGATTGTATAGTCCAGAAAGACAGTCTTATAATGAAGCCATTGCTTGTAAAGCAATTACACGAGCGACTGCTTTGAAGGCTTCTAAATCAAACTTAAAGCTCTCTCATCTTAAACTTTCTGTTGAGAGAATGGGACTAGAAGTATTAAAAGCTTTATTGTCTGAAAAAACTGACAGAGGAAATGTTCGAGTCACAAATTGCATGAAGGTCATTCGAAAAATATTTGACTTCCTTACTCCTGAAAGCTAGTTGATAATTCTTTGTTTTTATACTGAATTATATATTATATCTTTTCAGCTAACCTTGTGGGCAATTGCCATCACTAGTCATCAATTTTCTGTAAACATTATTTTTTATCTCCTGCTTGAGGAATAGTGAACAGAATTTTATCAAACTTTGCAGATAAATTATTTCTATCAATTAATGTCCTTTTTAATTGTTGAAGATTAGGTGACAATTGGTAAAGATATATAGCCATCCTGTCTGAATGTAAATTGTCATTGGTTAATCTTGATTGAAACCTCCTTCTCAAGAAATCCTGTAGGGATTGAAACAAAACATAGTACATTTATTTATTTTCCGATCAAGGTATTGAACAAGTGGTGTAATCTTATTGCCAATCAAAATAAGAGCCAGCAAAGATCACTAGTTTACATAAAACCTAAATGTTAATTTACATGTTGCTTTATATTTTAACTACAAATGATATTAAGTGACAAACTTTGTAAGATGATCAGTTCGAGCTACTAGCTTTGGTTCTATTTATTCTATCATTTCAATGATTATTTATATGATAACAGCATTATAGATTGAATTAAAAAAAAGTAGATATATATTTATTTCAAGGTCCTAAACAAGTGTTTTGATTGCGGTAGAAATTCAAAATGGCCATCAGTGAAGTTAAAAGCTTATTGATAGAAACCCAATGGGAGATATTTAAAGTTGTATTTCTGGTAGTATTTTTGTCAATGAGAAAAATAATCTTTACCAGATGCATTGCAAAATGATATCACTCATTACTGGTACAGTCTAATTGTATCCAATCATGTTTCTTTGGCAAATGAACTATCTTACTTTTTGCCTTGTTGTATTTTAAGGAATACATTATGTCTTTAATTTATCTTTCAAGATAAGAATTAGTATTCTGAAGGAAATGTAAAAAAAAAGGTGGTATTTGCATAAAATGCCTAGCAGAACAGGATAATTACACTCCCTATTGCACTGTGAAATGTCTTGTTATATGAATGAAATAAGTGCCACAAATCAAACCATGCTTTTAAACAATTTCTTTGATTAATTGATTTTGGATTTAATGTTATATGGATCAGTTAATATATGGGACCATAAATATGTCCATAAATAAATACTTATATCACCTATACTGCAAGTTGTTATATGTATTTTATGTAGTAACAAAGATTATATTTGTTTATGTCCCACCACAAATGTGGATGGGATATGAAATAGATTAACCCTTGACCATCCATTCTTTTATCATCAGAGGCCTGGTTTATGTACAGAACAATAAATGAAAATGAAAGATATATACAGCTACAAACCACAAACACTGAACTACAGACTCCTGACTTGGGACAGACACAGACTTCATCTTAATCTAAACCATTAACTCTTTAATAGGAAACAACCAAATGTGACATATAAGTCCGGAAGTCTTCAAGGAAACATAATTCAAAATACATTATGCACCTATTTTATTTTTTGATGGAACTATAATGATGTTCTAGGTTTCCCATGTCAAACTTGGAGGAAAAGTGGAGGATTCATTTTTTAGGTATCTAATTATCTAGTTGACTAGTTCAATTTGTTACATAATGTGCCCTATAGGCATTAGATAGAGGCGGATTTAAGGGGGGCAGGGGCCCCGGATCCCCCCTTTTTTGGGAAAAATTTGGTTGATTATATAGGCAGTCAGTGGGCCCCCACTTATGAAAATTTCTGGATCCGCCAGTGTTAGATCTATAAAGGAACATTTTTCCCAGTGCGTTATAATCTATATAATCTTGGTACTTTTCCTTTAAAATCATCTAGAATGTTCCCTACAATATAAGTCTGACTATTCTAACAATAGTGACTTTGATAACTGAATTCGACAATCATTGAGTATCTGGATGGGGTCTACTGCATAGAGAATAATGGATAAAAAGTGCAAATTAAATTAAGGCCAAAACATATAAAGAATAGAGAAAATCGCCAAAAAAAAAATTGAAAATAAAGGAGTGCTAAAATTTAGGAATAGAGAATAATGACATAAAGATTTAAAGAATACAAAATAGAAGGTTGAAGGACCCCCTTTCCAGACCCTCATCATTCAGGTCCGCCTTCCACTTAAATCTTGTTTTACATTTTGTTTCATTATGTATGACAGTTAATAATATGAAAAATTTGATTTAGATTGGCGAATGATCTCATAAAAATTTCATCAAAACTTTCAAAAATAACATAAATTTATCATTTTCATGAACACCATGACCTTAACCTTTTACCTTACGAATTTACCAAATGACCTAAAATTCAATTTTGGCCTGCACATCACTTAGGGGTACTGTTAACCATATACAGATTTTCATTTCATATAGTTTAGGCCAAAAAACAGGAGAAAAAGTGTTTTTTTTTTCAAAAATTATCTTTTTTGGTTGCCATGGTTTCACACTTTTGGTGATCTATCTCTCTTAAAAGGTCGGTGACCCCCACTTTTTTTTTGCTTTTTTTGAACTTCACTACCAACTCTCTTAGAATGGAAAGTATAATAGAAATCTGTAATTTTGATTTAACTTAGCGAATGATCTCATAAAAATTTTATCAAAACTTTCAAAAATAACATAAATTTATCATGTTCATGAACACCATAACCTTAACCTATGACCTTACGAATTTACCAAAATGACCTAAAATTCAATGTTGGCCTGCATATCACTTAGGGGTACTGTTAACCATAACCAGATTTTCATTTCATATAGTTTAGGCCAACATACGGGAGAAAAAGTAGATTTATTTTCAAAAATAACCTTTTTTGGTTGCCATGGTTTCACACTTTTGGTGGTCTACCTCTCTTAAAAGGTCGGTTACCCCCACTTTTCTTTTGCTTTTTCTGAACTTCACTACCAACTCTCTTAGAATGGAAAGTATAATAGAAATCTGTAATTTTGTTTTCTCAGTAGGTTAAGATAAAGGCAACGCAGGTGCAATTTTCCCTATTAGTCTTTGTAAAAATTGTACGATTTATGAGGGGAAAACCTATTTTTTTAGCAGTCTGTAACTTGCTTAGATGGTCGGTGACCCCTATTTTTTTTGTATTTTTTTAATCCATAGGTTAAGAGGTTTCAATCAACAAATTATAAGGAAAAACTGTAATTTAAATCTTATACCCTCGAGCCTCCTTAATAAGTATTTGTTACCCAGAATAATTGATGAAATATGTTTACCGTAAGAATCAGAATGTAGTCTTTATCATTAATTTGATATACTTAGTGTTTACATTGTTTTAAACCTTTTGTTTTTAATGACCACACCATGATTTAAAAATAGCTGTCATTCTGGTATACAATCATACTATAATTAAAGTCATGATTAATATTCCTATTGTAAAAAAATTAAAAAAAACATATTTGATTGCAGATGTATCGCTTCAACTGGTTGTTCCTTAAACATAGAGCAGTTTCAAGTAAACATTCGACTCAGAATGACAAAGATATTGTTTAGGCTTTGGTTTTCTTGAAATGCCTCCGCAACTTCATCTCTATATACTTATGACCATTTTGTTGTGCGATGGCGTGCGGCGATTTTCCATCATTTCTGAATAGCCTGATATTTGCTCCTTTATCTAATAACAACCCTACAATACTATCATGTCCAAGTTTGCATGCATAATATAATAATATTAACAGAGGCATTATATTTCAAAAGACATTCAACTACTTCTGAATGACCCAAACAACAAGCAATATGCAAGGCAGATGATCCTGCAACTAAATCAAAGATATAATCTTTTGACTTTAAGCGGGCATACTGTTGAAATCTAGGCACTCCCTTTCCAAGGACTAAGTCGAATATATTTTGCTTCAACTTTTCCAATGATTTCCAAGGACGGAACAACACATTTTTTTCTATTAACTCTTTCTTGTGAATACATGCATTTATATCAGCATTGGAATCTAAAAGTAACCGAGTGATTTCGGTATTTCCATTTGCTGAAGCTAACGTTATAGCGGTAACACCGACGTACGTTCTCATATCTACATTTGCTTTATTGTTTAGCAATAAACGTACTATTTCCGTGTGGTTATTTTGACACGCCACTATAAGAGGCGAATATCCATCTATACCGTAGTGACCCGACACAGTAGCTTGAAGTAACGGTGATAATTCAAGTAACTCATCTTTCATATTAGGATTGACATCAGCATTACGTTCCAGCAATGATTTCACTATTTCGGTATAACCTTTCTCACTTGCAATGAAAAGAGGAGTAAGTCCATTTTCATTACATACGTTAATACAATGATTCTTCTTTAACAAGAGGGAAACGGTATCTCTGTGACCGTTATAACAAGCCATTAACAATGAGGTATTGCCATCATCTCTACATTGATTCACATCCACGACATTGCCCAACAGCCAATGAACAAAATCAATGTAACCTTCAAAACAAGCAAGTATCATTGGATAGCTTCCAGAAGTACCACATTTCTTGATTTCAAAGGTATCTTGTGTATTTGCCAGTTTCACTTGCTGCGTTTTTTCAAGTTGGTGTAAATGAGATAAAAATTGATTTCTAAATGATTCATTATTCATATTTGAGTTGGAAATTACGACTGTTACTTTGCCTTTGGACCAGTCATTCACTAATCTATCCAAATAACAATGCAAGTTTTCATCAGTTAACTCAATAGCGAATTCATTTGTACTTGGGTTTTTCGATTTTGTCCACTGAAACCGTTCATATATGAAATAGGAATGAGAATGATCTATCAAACATCGAATCATTTTTCCACCGAAGTAATGAGCCAAAAAATCAAAAATTTTGTCATGTATGGTACTGTATGTTGAATTCCTTTTACAAACTAGCGAACCATCTAATGTATCTAATGCATCCATAAGTTCAGTCTTTGGTGTACCTGCATTCAGTCTGCAAGTTAAAAATACATCGTCTAAAACTTTGCGCTGTGCATCTGTTACGCTTCCTTCGAACCATTGTTTCTCCAGAAAATTATTGAAAAGTACACATAAAACAAGACTGCATATTTTTTTCTTGCCTTCATCACCACATCTATTTAGATTGTCTAATTCTGTTTTATAAAATTCGAACGGACTTTTGAATAAGTTTCTAACATCTATTCCCTCATTTTGAGGAAGCCACTGCAGGGAACATAAAAGAGGGAAAAAATCACTTGCTTGTGCAATGTCATCTAAGTTTTTGGTAGGCAAGTACTTTTCTTTTATATTTGTTTTCTCTGATTGTGTAAGACATATTTCTTTTGAGTTTAAATTGCATTCACATATCTTAAAAGGCTCCAATAAACTTATTTTATCATCCCTATAGACTTGTAATCTACAAGTTGCAATAATTTTGCAACAGTTGTCTGCAAGTATTTGTTCTATTTTTGGTAACATTTGTTGCCAATTCTCAAGCTGTGATCGGTTTGCAATAAATTTACCACATATATCATCTACAAGAAAAATAGTTCGTTTCCCGGGTGTATAATAGTCCCTTATATCTGTTGGTGTAAGAACTAAGACAATCCTATATCCTTCTGATTGGATATCAAGGGCGATGTGTCGAGCTAGGAATGTTTTTCCCACGCCTGGACTGCCGGTCAATGTCACGCAGCTCTTTTTATTCAGCTGATCTGAAACATAAGCGCTGGCTCTTGTAGGTACAAATTTCTTGTCTTTCATTTTCCACTCTTCTATCTCTTTGGTCATTTGGTCTATAATGTAAAAAATAAAGGGGGACAATGCAACGGAATATTTAAAACACATTAGTCATAAATGAACTGACAACGCCATGGTAAAAATTAAAAAGACAACAACAACAAAAAAATAATTCACAAAACACTACATAGACACAGCAACATGAAGCCCACCAAAACGGGGTTGTTCTCATGTGTTGAGAACCCGAACCAATGATATGAACACTTAATCATGTTTTAACGTATTTTCAAGGAATATCAAATAGAATGGGTACATTATGTAGACATGTAAATAAAACATGTACTTTGCATCATAATCAATGTATTTTGCAAGACAAATGAAACAAACAGTATATTTGGAAATATATTATTGTGATTGTAATAAAGCTATTGTGTTCAAAACTATAGGGACATTCTCTTGTTTAATTTTTCATTTCAAAATTGACATTCATAGTTCCAAGTCGACTTTTTCTACACAACCTGATCCATTTTAATATTTCGTAATTCCGAGTAAACATTTCAAGATATTAGAAGATGTGGTATGAATGCCAATGAGACAACTCTCCATCCAAGTCACAATTTGTAAAAGTAAACCATTATAGGTCACACCTCTCTGATTGGATGTAAATGAATTGAAAAGGCATTCTCCCTTCCACTTATTTTTAAAGTTTAATTCGTCTTGTTCTGTAAAATGTATGTCATGAAGACAGTAGATATTAAAATTCTTTGACTTTGAATAATTAAAAACTTCTCTCCGTTTCTCCTTTGTATAAAGACCTTGACAATTATAAGAAATTATTTTAAGTATATCACCCTTCATACCTGTGTTTAGCTGTATAAATATTCATTACTCTAATGATGAGTTAATATACATGAATATACCATGATATTTGTGGAATCAACGGACTTTTAGAATTCTCTTCCTTTAAAACTGTATCATTTTTCAAGATCTGTGACACCTTAAGACACATTTGTAATGTACAATAAATGCATATATATGAAAACATAAAATCCAATAGCGAGACAGAGTCCAACATTAAAATCAAATAGTAAATCTGCACTCTGAGACATTCACTGTTGTTGTGTAGGATATTCACTATAACTGGTCTAGGGGAGATAACTCAGAAGAAATTTTAATTAAATACATTGAATTCAGATGGAAATTTAACTTGATCAAATTCAACAGTGAATATCTGTATAATTCATGTTATAGATATAAGAAGATGTGGTATGAGCGCCAATGAGACAACTCTCCATCCAAGTCAAAATTTATAAAAGTAAACAATTATAGGTCAAAGTACGGTCTTCAACACGTAGCCTTGGCCCCACATCGAACAGCAGGCTATAAAGGGCCCCTAAAATGACTAGTGTAATACCATTCAAACGGGAAAACCAACGGTCTTATTTATATAAAAACGAGAAACGAGAAACTTTTATGAACCACATCAACAAACGACAACCACTGAACATTCATAAGTTGTAATAGAAAAATGTGAAGGTAATTTTTCACAGTTTCAATTTTGCATTTCTCAGATGAATCTTATTATTTCTCGCTTCCAACTTAAATTTTTTAATTTCAAGGTAAACAATTCCCACTTTCCGATTTTTACATAGAAACTATAAAATATCAAGATGGAAGTGTAAAAAGTCAACCTGGAGTACGAAATTTTAACTTGGAAGTCAGACATGTTGTTAAAGTAAGAACTGTCATAATGGAACACTTCAAATCAGCTTTTTAAAATTAATATTGAAATACTCACACGGTCTTTGAGTCGGAAATCAAAACATTTATTCTAAAAACAGATCAGTTTGGTTGACGACTAGAGCTTGCAGTAACTACTAATAGTACTTTGTAAATTTATGTTGATCATTGCCATTTTGCTAAGTTTCTTTTGGTAACTATTCTAACATCCGACTCTAACGTCTTTTAAACTCAGTTTTACTGTGCGTATTACTGTGTATTTGTTTATTTTACATTGGCTAGAGGTAAAGGCATTTTTTTTTAAATATTTGAATAAGCTTATTTCAATAATACAATATCCGAATGTTCATGAACTGAAAAACTGATACAAACAGACCGGAATATAAAAGACAGTTCATCTTTTTTGTCCAGGTAGGCACCGCTCATTCAGCTTGGATTGGAGTTAAGAAAAATATTTTAAAATAATTGTTTGTTTCAAGAATTCATGAAAAACCGAAGAGGAGGAAGAGCAGGAAAAATTGTTTGTTTAGTCCAGTTAGTGAACAAGTGAAAAACAACTGCCATATTCATGACGTTGAATGCTAGTATAGTTTTTTTTCGGTTCAAACATTGATTTTGTTTAAAATGAAATAACCTAAAACATGTAATGTGTATTTCTATAAATTGAGCAAAACCTACATACGGTCAGTATTAAATACTTAAATTTGGAATTGAACCAGGGCATGCTTTTTTTCGACTGTTTTTGACGTTTTTACACTAAATTTTTGTTTTGACCACGACAGCAAAACTTAGTTATACTTTGTTATTTGCTTTGAAATAGCTTTCAGAATCTGCAAGTACTCTTAGATCGGTACTTTGTGTCTTTTGCCTTTTCTGTTAGTTTCTAACTGATTTTTACAGTTTGCTCTATGGTGCGATGTTCATACCCCTATCCCACATTAAAGACATTCCATAGATGCTTAAGTTCTGAGCTCGTAATTTAGAAGTTGACGTTGGTTGATGTCTGTGATATTTGCTTTCCATAAAATAAATCAGGTCGAATTTTCTGATTTCATTTTTTTCATAACTTATCATGTCGGGGGTTTTAATTGCTGACTTTACGATTTTGGGTGTGCTTATTGATGAAGGTCGTATGGTAAATGAAGGCAACAGTAGTATAACCTGTTCAGAAGCCCTACATCGATTAAGCGAAAACAAACCCAGGTTATAAACTAAAACCTATACCGATTTCAATCATCTTTATTCGGTTTAGGCTTTATAAGTCAGTTGTCACATAAGCAAACATATTTAATAACCTTACTTTATAATGTGTTTGTTTTGGGCATTGTATTTTATAGGAATGACATTTCATTTATTTGTCGGTTACTAGATCAATAGCAATGTAGTTTAAGATATAAATCTTAATGCAATATCCAAAAAAAGCCGATCACAGCCATAGTAAGTGAGAAACTGACTTTCTTTAAATGAAGATTGAGGAAGTTTTGAAAGAGTTTGGCTTTCTATTTATAGAGAAAAGAATAATAAACATTAACCAATCAGAATAAAGGTCCCCTTTGCTGGCTTTGCTTAGCTGATTGGAATGAGGTACCATAACTTGTAGCTTTAAGGAGAAATAGTTTGAAATATTTACCAAACAAAATCAGCAAATACGTTTTTTTCGTGTTTTCCATTCAATTATTGCATTTTCCAGACCTTTCATGTATATTATTCCTGAAAACGTTTTGAAAACCATATCAATTTCAGAGGCAAAAAATAAGACGTGAAAGTACAAAGTACGAACGAAGGGCATTTGCAGTATCTCACAACGCTTCTGTGTGGTTTTGATTTCTACAACTTTAAGTGTATCTGTGTATCTTTGATATGTATTTGACTTAGTAAATAACATTTAATGTAAAATATAATTATAGGAATGAAATCATCTTTCAAAATATGTACATAAAAAAATGTTTATATGTCCTTTGATTGAGTTAAGCCATTTCAGTTGATATTTTATAGTGTGTCTTTCTATGTTGTGATGTTACACTATTGTTTCAGAAATAGTTTAAAATATTTACCAAACAAATCAGCAAATACGTTTTTTTCGTGTTTTCCATTCAATTATTAGGTGAAGGTTTGGTACCATTAAAACGTTTAAACCCGCTGCAATTGTTTGCACCTGACCTAAGTCAGGAATCTGATGTTCAGTAGTTGTCGTGTGTTGATGTGCTTCATAAGAGTTTCTCGTTTCTCGTTTTTTATATGATTAGACCGTTGGTTTTCCCATTTGAACGGTTTTACACTAGTAATGTTTTGGAGCCCTTTATAGCTTCCTGTTCGGTGTGAGCCAAGGCTCCGTGTTGAAGACCGTACTTTGACCTATAATTGTTTACTTTTATAAATTTGACTTGGATGGAGAGTTGTCTCATTGGCGCTCATACCACATCTTCTAAATCTATAACATGAATTATACAGATATTCACTGTTGAATTTGCTCAAGTTAAATTTCCATCTGAATCCAATGTATTTAATTAAAATTTCTTCTGAGTTATCTCCCCTAGACCAGTTATAGTGAATATCCTACACAACAACAGTGAATGTCTCAGAGTGCAGATTTACTATTTGATTTTAATGTTGGACTCTGTCTCGCTATTGGATTTTATGTTTTCATATATATGCATTTATTGTACATTACAAATGTGTCTTAAGGTGTCACAGATCTTGAAAAATGATACAGTTTTAAAGGAAGAGAATTCTAAAAGTCCGTTGATTCCACAAATATCATGGTATATTCATGTATATTAACTCATCATTAGAGTAATGAATATTTATACAGCTAAACACAGGTATGAAGTGTGATATACTTAAAATAATTTCTTATAATTGTCAAGGTCTTTATACAAAGGAGAAACGGAGAGAAGTTTTTAATTATTCAAAGTCAAAGAATTTTAATATCTACTGTCTTCATGCCATACATTTTACAGAACAAGACGAATTAAACTTTAAAAATAAGTGGAAGGGAGAATGCCTTTTCAATTCATTTACATCCAATCAGAGAGGTGTGGCCATCTTTTTTAATGAAAACTTCAATTTCACAAAGTTAAAAAAGATGAGGGTGGAAACCTTCTTGGATTGGATATTACAATTGAAGAACAAAGAATTACCTTAGTTAATATTTATGGGCCAAATGTAGACACCCCTTGCTTTTGTTAAAAGGTGGCAGACATTATTGAGGAATTTGATAACCAGTATTGTATTCTTTGTGGTGATTTTAACCTAATTCCAAGTTTTAATCTTGACACTCATAATTATGCTAATATCAACAACCAAAAGTCTAGAGAAAAATTATTACAGATAATGGAAGACTTTAATCTAGTTGATCCATTTAGAGAATTATACCCCAATATGAAAAGGTTTACTTGGAGAAAAAAAAACCTTTAAACAATCTCGTTTAGACTTTTTTCTGATTTCTGATAATATTTTTCACTTTGTTAGTGATGTTAAAATTGATAATAGTTATAGGTCTGATCATTCACTAGTGATCTTTTCTTTCAAGATTAATGAATTTATAAAAGGCAGATGCCTTTGGAAGTTTAATAATTCCCTTCTTCATGATACTGACTATGTTGAAGAGATGAAAAAACTCATAAGTACAGTAAAAGAACAATATGCCGTCAAGATATATAGAAATGAAAATTTACAAAATATTGACAACTCTGAAATTGAATTTACCGTAGATGACCAGTTATTTTTCGAAACTTTACTCATAGAAATACGTTTTGAAACTATTTCATATGCATCTCATAAAAAAAAGGAGGGTATAAAAATTAAAAATGAGATTATTTTAAAATTAAAACAATTTGAAGAAAATGCACTAACAGAAGATAATCTGGAAGAGATTGATCAGAAAAAAATCAGAACTTAAAATGTATAGACAAAAGAAGGTTCAGGGACAATATATTAGGTCAGGAAGTCAGTGGATTGAAGAAGGAGAAAAACCTACCAACTTTTTTTTAAATCTAGAGACTAGAAATTTCATTAATTTAATAAGACTATTCAAAAACTTACTTTAGAAAATGGGATGTAGTGGAAGAACAAAAAGAAATCTTAAGTCAGACAAAGGTGTTTTATGAGAAACTTTATAACAAACAAGATTGTATGAAAAGGGTTGATTTAACTCCGGACAATTTTTATGATGATATACCGAAGCTGAGTGAGGATGAGAAGCAGTTATTGGAGGGAAATATTAGTTTTTTTAATTAACTGGAGCATTAAAGAGAATGAAAAAAAAAAAAAAAAACAAGAGTCCAGGATCTGATGGTTACACTGCAGAATTTTAAAATTTGTTTTGGATTTGTTCTTAGATCTATAAATTTTGGATATGGGAAGGGTCAAATGTCTGTCACCCAGAGGCATGTATTCCAAAAGAAGGTAAACCCAACAATTTATTAAAAATTGGAGACATATTACTCTTCTAATAGGTGCATATTAGAAGAGTAATAGGTCTTATAAATTCTACATATAAATTGGCATCAAGCTGTAAAGCAGAGAGAATAAAATCAGTTTTGTCAAAATTAATAAGTTCTGATCAAACTGGTTTTATTCAAGGTAGATATATAGGCGAATATTGTCGATTGATATATGATATTCTACATTTTACTGAAGAAAATACTATTCCAGGAATATTCTTGCTGATTGGTTTTGAGAAGGCATTTGATTCCATATCTTGGTCCTATCTTTATGATACAGTAAGATATTTTAATTTTGGTGATTCAGTTATATCCTGGGTTAAAACCTTCTATAATAATATAACAGCTGCAGTGACACAAAAACTGTTGTCTGTCAGAATTCTTCACTGTAGAGAGAGGCTGTAGACAGGGAGATACTTTATCCCCTTATATTTTCTTGCTATGTGCAGAAATATAAGGCATTTTAGTAAGAAATAGTAAAGAGACAAAGAGTATTACTATAGATGATACAGAATTTGTACCTTCTCAATATGCAGATGATACATCTATATATTAGATGGCTCGCCAGAATCACTCGATGCATCTCTTCGTGTTCTCCAATTTTATGCTGAAATCTCGGGACTTAAGATTAACATAGAAAAAAGAAATGTTATTTGGATAGGTAGAAAAAAACATTCCAGAATCAATTTTGTGTTAAGTGGGAATTGAAATGGGGCTCCAGTATATTTAAGCTCCTTGGAATTACTTTTTCAGTTGACCTAGATGAAATGATTAATTTAAATTATAGGCCTGTGTTAGATAATATAGACAACACTTTGAAAAAATGGTGAAAACAGTATCTCAACCCCTATGAAAAGGTCATCAAATAAATTTTGGCAAGAGGGTTTTGATGCTTGGAAAACCCTTAATGAAATTAAAAAAACCAAGATGTATTGATGAAGTTCTATCTTATCCTTTATTGGAGGGAGAAAACATTTAAATTGGTGGTTCAAGTGTCTACTATAAAAACTGGGCTGGTGCTGGAATTTGACCTGTTAGATTATCAGGGCAAAATTATGTCATTTCAAAATTTCCAACAATTATATCAATTTAGGCCAAATGTTTTACATTATTATGGAATAACACACTCGCTTAATGAGTGGTTAAACACTATCAATATTGAAGTAAAGGAGAAAAAAATTCAAGCAATACTACCTTTTAATATAAGTATTATCTTTGAATCAAAAAAAGGTTCAAAGGACATGTACAAAGTATTGAATGAGAAATATATTACTTTTGCTGCAAAGGAAAAATGGGAGAACCATCTTAATATGACTGGTATTAACTGAAAAAAAAATACTTCGTGTAAATAATATACTAGAAGCAATAAGCTTTGCTGGTTCCAATATAGAATTATCCATAGAATTTTTGGAACTAATTCACTACTTTACAAGATGAAAATAAATAGTAGCAACATATGTAAATTTTGTAAAGAAGAACCAGAGACCATAGAACATTTATTTTGGAGCTGTCCGATGGTCGCCAGTCTCTGGCATGCACTAAACAACTGGATTTTTGAAATGACAAATATTGAACTGCCTTTGAATATCAAGGTTATTCTATTTGGTCACTACGAAAATGTTAAATTGAATTTTGTTAAAAATAATATTATTCTGCTTACAAAATACTATATTTACCGAACAAAATTACAAGAAGTACTGCCAAATTTAAATGCTTTAAAAAATTATTTAAAGGAACACTCGAACTTAGAAAAATACATTTCATTTAAAAACATCTCTGTAGAGGAATATAACAAATACTGGGCCTCTATTATAGAATAATTAATAAATGTCGAATTTTGATTTAAACACCACAAATAGATATTGCAAGAACGAATTAGATTCCATTGTTATTAGATAATTATTTATGTTCAACCTATTGTTGCACCATTATATATTTAATTGTTGTTTTTTTATTTAATACTTCCTTTGTGTGAATATGCCATTCTGTATACCTTTGTTCATATATGTTGTACCAGTCTATTTGTTACAATAAAGAAAATTCATTATAAAAAATAATAAAATTAATTGTGCACAAACCTCTAATATTCTTAGGGATGGTTTCTTCTTGTTCAGTTTGTATAGTAGTAAGTTTTGCACTCAGGCCAGTGAATTTCAGTTCACCTGTAATTTAAATAAGATGATATTATCTGATTTGATATTATCATGAGGAATAACGTGAATTAGGTTATTTTGGCGGTCTTCATATTTTGGGTCGTTTGTGTTGACATTAATATGATTAATACAAGAAACGTCTTATGCAAAATTGTAGGTTAATCAGCTTTCGATATTTTAGTTTAGGTATATAGTTATATGTGCATACTCATTTCACTCATTTCGTCTCATATATTAGAATGTCTCATTGGTATATTTATACCCCCGCTTTAAAAAAGTGGGGGTATACTGTTTTACCTCTGTCTGTCCGTCCGTCCGTCCGTCTGTCCGTCCATCCGTCTGTCCATCCGTCCGTCCGTCCGTCCGTCCATCCTTTCGTCCATCCGTCAGTCCATCAGTCCGTCAGTCCATCAGTCCGTCAGTCTGTCCATCCGTCCCATGAATATTTTTCGTCGCATCTTTCTCAGGAACTACAATACAAGGATTTCTGAAATTTAGTTTCAGGGTTTATATAAGTCACCTATACCGTATGATGCATTTTCAGATTCATCACTCAACAACTTCTGTTTACCGATTACTTGTATCATTTTACACATAATAGCCAAGTTGAAAATTTTCGTCACATTTTTCTCAGGTCCTACAATACATGGATTTCTGAAATTTGGTTTCAGGATTTATATAAGTCACTTATACCGTGTGATGCGTTAACAGATTCATCACTCAACAACTTCCTGTTTACCGAACACTTGTATCATTTTACACATGATAGCCAAGTTGAAAATTTTCGTCACATTTTTCTCAGGACCTAGAAAACAAGGATTTCTGAAATTTGGTTTCAGGGTTTATATAAGTCACCTATACCGTGTGATGGGTTTTCAGATTCATCACTTAACAACGTCCTGTTTACCAAACACTTGTATCATTTTACACATGATAGCCAAGTTGAAAATTTTCGTCACATTTTTCTCAGGAACTACAATACAAGGATTTCTGAAATTTGGTTTCATGGTTTATATAAGTCACTTATACCGTGTGATGCGTTTTCAGATTCATCACTCAACAACTTCCTGTTTACCGAACACTTGTATCATTTTACAGATGATAGCCAAGTTGAAAATTTTCGTCACATTTTTCTCAGGAACTACAATACAAAGATTTCTGAAATTTGGTTTCGGGGTTTATATAAGTCACCTATACCGTGTGATGCGTTTTCAGATTCATCACTTAACAACTTCCTGTTTACCGAACACTTGTATCATTTTACACATGATAGCCAAGCTGAAAGTTTTCGTCACATTTTTCTCGGGAACTACAATACAAGGATTTATGAAATTTGGTTTCAGGGTTAATATTAGTCAACTATATGGTGTGATGCGTTTTCAAATTCATCACTCAACAACGTCCTGTTTACTATATACTTTTAGCGGGCGGGGATATCATTAGTGAGCAGTAGCTCACAGATTCACTTGTTCGGCTCTCTCTCACTAGTACGTGTTAATTGATTTTTTCAAAGCAGTATGCCCGGTAACACAAGTTTTAAACCAAAAACATAGATTTTTACAGATTTTTAAAACTGTAAACATTTACCTTTTTATTTTAAAGTAGAATGATTTTGTTACATAACTATGGACTGGTTTTTTTTTTGCAATACACTGCACATGCACCAGGTACTAACATCATTCATTCAACATTACTGAAATATGCTCAATTTTTGCATTTTCGCTAATTTATATAAAAATGAAAGTCGTTGCACTTGTGTTCAGTCTTCATATTTAATTATATATTGTATTTGATGACAATACCCAACATATATTAACGTTAAGACTGAACACGAATGCGGCCACTAACATTCTTGACAAAAACCATCTGAAAATTGAATTGTTATTACATTTTATAGACTTTTCATATTCAAGCTTGAATTTGGGCGTCTTCAATGACCAAATCAGTTCAAATCCTTTACATACATCAATTGAATCGACCGAAGTAGATACTTACCTGTTTAAAAATGGTCAAGAATCTTTCATCAAACTTACATCACATTTTAAGCCAACCTTATTCCTAACCGGACCTTCTTCTTTTAATTTTACTCATGTCTCAACATGAATCGGTACACCATAAATAATTATTCATAAATAAATCTTAAAAAAGTCAATACAATTTTCAAATATATTGAACATTTAAAATCAATGTCATAAACATGATAAATGGTTGGTAATCATCTGATAATTGTCACAATACTTCTATTGATAAGTATTCAAACGTTTACTTCAATGATTTATCTTGAAGTCTACTGTCAAATTATTGAAAGCATGTTGTTTAAGTTTACATATTATATATATATATATATATATATATATATATATATATATATATAATTGTTTCATTATGACCTTTGTCTGTGACGCATACGTGTAGTGATATTGTTTATACGAAAGAGTCAATGATGCACATTACACAATGCAATCCATTCTATCAGTGTACAATAACAGTATTTAGACCAAGATGTTGCAATTCAACTACATCTTTGGTCCCTTCCACCGCCTTTTTAAATTCAAATACCCTTTCTCTATTACAATTCTTCCCAGCGATACGTTCTTTTATTTTAAGTGTTGATGTGCTTTAATGAAATTTGACGTTGACAGAAAATATAGCTATACAATACTAGCAAGCTATATCGATAATGAATGTAGACGTTCGAGGGTTCTACGTGTACCTTCTGTAAGATTATATCAAATACTTCAAGAATTGTATTATATGAAATACGTGTCACTTTATCTATCACACATCTTTATTAATCACATTTCCGAATCAACATAATTGGAAAACATAAGACTAAACTATTTATCAGTCGTAACTTGTATGTTTCTAGACTAACTTACTTTCTTGACGCAGTTCATCAACACTATGACTGACCGCGGAAATATTTGATTTCATTGTTGTCTCTCTTTCAACCAGATCTTCAAATTGTCGAAGGTACAACAGTCCTCTTTCCGGATCTATGCAGCAAGTTTTAACGTTTTCGATTTTTGACACATATTCTCTGTTCAGTTTATTCAGGTATACTTCAAGTCTACTTGCAATGTCTATGAACAAAGAGAACCTATTGTTTAGTTCTACGTCTGATATGTTTGTATTCACATTATGTACGATATCATTCCGGCTACGCCTGATACGTTCAACATCATCTCCTATTGTAGTTTCTGTCGAAATTGGTGGAATTTGATTGTCCCATCCTTGTGTTGGTGGTGGAACTAAATTTAAATTTCGTATTATCTTGTACATAAGAGCAACATCAAAATCAACATACTGTTTTGTTCGGACAGTATTTATGACTTTCCATTCAAAGGCTCTCAGTTGTTTGGACAGGTAACTGTTACTTCGAATATGGCCATCTAGAAACGCGGATGGCTCTTTTACTAAAAGCAATTCCCGGAGTATGTTTGGAAGCTCAGTCTGAATGACTATGCATATTCTAACAAAGTTAGTTATGTTTACACTAGCGCCTGGTGATAAAGTCGAATTCCCTGCTCCCATGTCTTTACTACGGTCAAATTTTCAATTATCAGTACTTTTTCAGAAAGTCACAGGACTTGACGAGTCTTCAATCATATGTTTGTACAGTATTTTTCGCTTTTGAAAATGATTAGTTACGAACAACTCATTGTGTCCAAACCTGTTCAGAAAAACAACAGACGTTAAATGTATCAAATTTATAATAAAACTTATATTGTAATTAACATTCATCAGTAAATGTTAGAATTTTGAAATTAAAGGAATTTCTTACAGATACAAAGGAGTGGACTTTCAAAGCCACAGTTATAAAAAAAAACAGTAAGATATACATCTATACCATTGCTAAAGAAACCTACAAATGTATATAAAAAGATATATGCTTTGTTACGCAATTGATTGAGATTTCACGGTTTACTACAGTAACAACAATAACATTTAAAATAACTGTAGAAAAAAGAAATTGCTGTGCCGTAGGAAAAACTATCCTTCGTCGTTGAGTTCCTTTAACAAACAGTCACTAGAAATGCTCAAGTACACTAGAAAGTCAGAGTCCTGCAGACATAGTCAAATAGATAAGGCAGTATAAAATTGTCAACAATACATGATGGGATCAGAGGACTTGCATTCAATCAGTGTCATAATGTTCCACCTGTTACAATAGTATTACAATTTTCAAAGTCCAATTACATAAGCAAGTTGTCGAATCGAAATGACAGTATAGTTTGACATCTATAATTAACGACATCCTACTAAATCTTGCCAAACTGTCTACATGGTCGAAGCGAATTTGATTTCACAAGGCGTCAATGTGTGAAAATACTGTAAAAGTTACCTAAGTACTTTAACTATAACTTTATATATAGGCATAGCTAGCTATAAAACCAGGTTTAATCCACCATTAGCTACTTAAGAAAATGCTTGTACCAAGTCAGGTATATGACAGTTGTTAAGATGTTTGATGTGTTTGAACTTTTAATTTTGCCATATGATTAGGGACTTTCCGTTTTGAATTTTCCTCGGAGTTTAGTATTTTTGTGATTTTACTTTTCACAAGAATGGCCAAATGAAAAAAAAAAAACGGGTGCCACATGTGGGGCAGGATCTAAGATCAAACCCGTATTCAGGTATGATTCGGTTTGGTCAGTGTTAAATTGAGTATGTTATGTTTGTCTTTTGACAGTATTCCTATGTTTCATGGTGTTTGTCATTCACGTTATGTGTTGTGATATCCTTTTGTTTTTGGTGTCACATCTCTTTTATCCCTCTTAAAAATCAATTAACATGATTTGGTATAATTTCATCGAAGAAATCGATAAAGAAATTGCTAACAAATGCCTCAATTCAGATAAAAATAATATATAAATGTATGGAACACATACATTGAAGACATAAATAAACAGGGAAAATAGTAGAATTTTCTGAAGAAAAACAAATCGTATATTGCCAGGATATTCAGATTTGATATTAATTTCTTGTGATATTGTTTAGAT